AATTGTTGGGCGTGTTGTTGACACAGTATTTCGCCCCCTCCCCCCCCTCCTTATTTTTTTATCCTGTCGCCACATCCGGAAAGGGACTGGAGCTCCTGCTTCAGAGGGTCGGATGGTCCCTGGTGATTTTCTCCTCTGGAGTGGCCAGGATGGTCCTTAGGTGGCTCTGGCGTTTGGCTGCCTTCTTGCTCTGCAGAGGTGAGCCCCTCGGATTCCTCCATGGAGTTTTGGGGTCCCTTAAAACAGGGTTTGGTCTCCAACCTAGGCAACTTTAAGACTTGTGGACTTCAGCTCCCAGAGTTCCTCAGCCAGCTTTGGGAGTGGAAGTCCACAAGTCTTAAAAGTTGCCAAGGTTGGAGACCCTTCCCTTAAAAGACCTATTGACTGCTCCATAGTGCCTTGCGTGCATCTCGGGAGGTGGGGGGCGGCATGGTGGGCCACCATTGGACTTTTCCACGGGAATGGGAGTTTACTAACTCTGGGCTGCGGTCCATTTCACGTCTCCTGCTAATCTCGCCATGGTCTCCGTCTGGTGCCGCTCTTTTTTATTTCATTATTTTTTTAAAGATTATTTTTGACTGCACAACTGGACTTCGGCATAGACTGAAGTTATAAAAATAGAGGATGTTTTTCTTGGTTGCTGGGTGATGGGAAAGCTTTGCTCCTGGTTGCCCAGGTAGAAGCCTATAGCGCTTGACACACAGGTCTCCCTTCCTTTGCTTGCCTGGGCTTGTTTTCAATGGTTGGGAAGCCATTTCAACAAACTGCGATAGCTGTGCTGGGTGTATCGGCCTGAACAGGCTCCCTCATTCTTTGAGTCAACCCCAGGTGGAATTCTCTAGGCCAGGGCTGTCAAACTCAAGGCCTGCGGGCCAGATGCAGCCCATGGGAAAAAGACCCGAATACAACAAGACCAGCATTAAGATTTCATATAATGCTGGTGATAGCTGAAAAATAAATGTCCCCTCTTGGCTTAGGGGCTTTTATTTCTGTGCCTAATTGAAGTATTATATGCATATCCTACCTTTTCCCAAGAGTTAAGGGTGGCTTACTTGGAGATTGTCCTTTATTTCATATTCACACTTGCACTCCTGTGGAGTAGATTGACTGAGGGCCAGGGGCTGTCTGAAAGTCGCGTAGTGGGCTTCCATGGTTAGTCCTAATCCTGGTTTCTCTCTGGTTTCTTGCACAAGAGCACCAGATTCCTGAAGAATGAATTGATCAAGGGGCAAAAGTTAAAGGAGTAAGCAAAGTTGTGCTCGTCTATACAGGTGAGCACAACTCAAAACGCACTGACGATGTCTCCTTGAATGGTGATGAAATATTTGCAACCAAATTGCCAAGCTCAGAGCTCAAACCAACAGCATAATGCAGAATACTGAGTTCTGTTGGGTTGATGTATTATATACTCTTTGCATTGGAAGTTTAAAATCTTAGAAGGTTAAACTTTACAATCTTACACGGATATACACAATATATCCAAAGTTCTGCGATATGAAGCTGTTCTTATTAGAAAATGACAAAATCAGCGAGAGGTTGTTATTATGTGTCACACCATTGGTTGCACTTCATTTTTCAAGGAAATTCTTTTTGTTTTTACTTTTCCTGTGATATCTCAAACCAACCTTATTTGGAGGATTTTTCTCGTTGGTTTTTCTATGCTTTTCTTTTGATGTTACCAGTCAAAACCATTGTGCAGCTCTTCTTCCTAGGTTTTTTTTTCCTTTTGAGAAAGAATAGCAATAGCAATAGCAGTTCGACTTATATACCGCTTCATAGGGCTTTCAGCCCTCTCNTGTGGTGACCAAAACTGGATGCAGTACTCTAGGTGTGGCCTTACTAAGGCTTTATAGAGTGGTGGTAGTACCTCCCTTGATCTTGATTGTGTCCTCTGTTAATGCAGTTTAGGATTGCATTGGCTTTTTTGGCTGCCGCCGCACACTGCTAGCTCATATTTAGCTGGTTGTCCACTAAGCCTCCAAAATCCCTCTCACAGTTACTGCTATTAAGCCTGGTTTCTCCCATTCTATATCTGTCCTTTTGGTTTTTCTTGCCTAAGTGTAAGACTTGACTTTACATTGAATTTAATGTTGCTAGATAGGGCCCAGTGTTCAAGTCTATCAAGATCCATCTTGTCAGCATGAAGGACATGTTGGTTTTCCTTTTGGTGGAAATGGACCTCGGCCTGTTCCTGGGTTCGGTTGACAGAGCCTATCCCCACTTAGACTGCATCTGCCCTTCCTAGTCTGATCTTTGCAATTCTCCAGCTGAGAGCCTGACTGGCAGCCATGCCCTCTGCCAGATGAGCTGGCCAACTTTTGGCAGTGGGGAAGAGATGCCAGCCAAGATTCCCAGCCCAGGATGATGGCTCTTTGGGAAAAGCATAACCAAAGGCCAGGTAAACCTCTAGACCAATGGTCTCCAACCTTGGCAACTTTAAGACCTGTGGACTTCAACTCCCAGAGTTCCTCAGCCAGCAAAGCAAAGTCAAACACATCATCAGTTATGAGTCCCTGTGCCCACAAGAGACTTAAGCCCAAGCCATCTTGAGTTCCTTCTCTCTTATCTCCCACTAACTTCCCTTGACTTTTAGTAGTTCAGATTCTTGTAGAGAGCTTAAGTTTTGTACTATTTGAACTGCCCGAGTCTCCTGATTTTCCTGGTGCTTGAAACCTAGGCAGTCATCACTCGACCAGATGGGCTGTCTGCTATGCAAGTTGTGGCTCTGTAGCCCCCATGTTTGTGGCAATGGCTCTGGGGATACAGAGGAGTTCCTATCAGGGTGTTGCATGGCGCATTTTCCATCCTCTTTAAAATATATCTGATTATTCCACCATAGATTTCCCCCAGTTTCATACCATTGCTAGTAAGCCCCAATAGCTGCAGAGGTTCTCCACACAAATCCTAAAATGAGAGAAAGAATATCCCATTTAAAAGGAGGAAGAAATGTTATACTTGGTACTTGACTGCAGGAGGCCGTCCAGGCTGAAAACAGACCCTGAGAGGGCCACGCGCGGCCCTCCCAAAATCCCTTTTCACTGGCAAAGGGCTGCAGGAGGCTGTCCTGGTCGAAAGCAGATCCTGAGAGGGCCACGCGCGGCCCTCCCAAGCTCTGTTTTCACTAGCAGAGGGCTGCAAGAGGCCATCCAGGCCAAAAACAGAGCCTGGGAGAGCCATGCACGGCCCTCCCAAGCTTTGTTTCCGCTGGCAGAGGCACCGTGGGCTGGTCCTTCGCTATTTCCAGGGCGGCCCCGCAAGCCACATCTAACCACACCCTACGGGCCGGATGCGCCCCTTGGGCCTTGCATTTGACACTCTTGGCCTAATAGAATATTCTGGCTTTGCCCACGATTGAGCCTAAATGCCGAACCCAAAGAAACACCCCTCATAAGATGAAGGAGCCGGGGGCGGCGGGGGGGGGGCGGGAATAAGAGCATTTCCACTTAAAGAGATCCGAGAGCCTTCACTGCGGAGGGCGGGACGCGTTCCTCTCTCTCACACGCACAGATCATTGTTCGTGCTTCTATTCTTTGAAACCTTGGCCAGGATTATTCAGATTGGACTGGTTGACATATGCGACTTAATATCCGTTTAACAGCGTCTTTAGCGTGAGCTATTGAATCCACTGTAATTGGGTTATAATTCACACCGGGGGGGGGGGCTAAGTCCTAAGGAGGCGGCAGCTGTGGCCAGGCCTTAATATTTTAAGAAGGTGCTGGACCCACCCAGAGGGTGGGGTGGGGAGGGCTAAGCTTTTTTGGGGTGGTGTTGGTGGTGGTTATATTCTATTTTCTGGTTCCTGCAGCCAGCAACCTTCCCTGCAAAAATAAATCCTGCAACCCCCTGCTTTTTGACTCTCTGGCTTGTCTCACATGGCTTTATATAAACTGAGTAATTTTCAGCACGTCGCCTTACATAAGAATACAAAAAATCCCAGCTCCCTTTGCACCACTTAGGTTGAATCTGCCCATCCTTCAGGAAAGCAGCTGCGAAGATCGTTCCTTTCCCTCCGCCGGCTGCCCCAATCTTGAGGGGGGGGCACGCAAATGAGCCTGCATTTGGAGACAGCCACGCGGAAGTCCAGCCTTTCCCTTTGCATTAAACGCTCGAAAGGACCTGGATTTTGAAGCCTGTAGAATCCTGTCCTTTAATTTTCATGTTCTTTTATTTTGTTTTTTGCTCCTGTCAGATTTTACCGTACAATGTTATTCCTCCGGCAAAAATGTCATCTCAGATCATGGAAATAAGGCGGCATTTTTAAAAAAAACTCCTTTCTCTCGTGCACGTAGTTTTGTGTCTCTGAGCATTCAGGGGGCGTTTTCTCATGTTCAATTTTGCAACTGTTTTGTTCCATTTAACGCAATGTTGTGAGTGTGGTTTGGGTGCCGAGGGAACGATGGCTTCAGCCTCCGGGAATTCATCCCCAAGCTGTGAAAATCCGCTTGGCATCCTTGTAGGAAGTTAACGCAGGTAGTCCTCGACTTACAACACATCATTTAGGGGCCGCTCGGAGTTACAACGGCACGGAGCAAAAGGGACTTACGACCGTTTTTCACCCTTATGACCGTTGTAGCATCCCTATGATCATGTGATAAAATTTGGATATTTGGCAAGTGTTTCATATTTATGACGGTCACAGTGGCCATATGACCATCATATGATCGATCCCCTTTTACAAACTTCTGACAAACAAGAGTCAATGGGGAAACCAGATTCACTTAATAACAGTGTGACTGATTTAACCACTGCAGTAATTCGCTTAACAACCATGGCAAGAAATCTCCTAAAACGGGGCAAAGCTCACTTAACAAATGTCTCACTTAACAACACAAATGTTGGGCTCAATTGCGGTTGAAGATTGCCTGTATACCCATATACCTGTAATGTACCTGTCTACCTATGTACCTACACCTGTACATTCACACAAACCGCTCTGCATCTGGATGGGGGTGACATGTCTGCCCCCTAACCTGCTTCCTCCCCCCCCACCTCTTTTCCAGGTTTCAAGTGCCCCGTTTGCTCCAAATCAGTGGCTTCCGATGAAATGGAAATGCACTTTATCATGTGTCTGAGCAAGCCCCGTCTGTCCTACAACGGTGAGTTCTCCTTTGCAACCTGCAGAGCTCCCTTTGTCAGGCCTGGCAGTGGCTGGGGGCAAGGCCGTGGGGCACTCATCCCCCCTGCCTGGCTTTCCGGCTGGTATCCCCAAAGACACCCAAGCCAGCCCTGTCCCTCCCTCCATAAGCGCTCTTGCCATCTTATGCCCTGCCCTGTTCGCCTGGTGTCTCCCCACTTCTTTGTACATGGCATGAACCACCACCACTTGGCACGCTGGTTCAGAAAGGCCGAGCTAGGCAGGGCGAGAAGGCGCATGAGAGCCCCATTTCTGCCTCCGGGCGAAGAGCAAAGCCGACTTCCTTCATATTTCAGAAGGCGATTGTTTGAGTTGCTGCTTCTGCGCTGGGTGCCAACTTCTATTCTTGCCTTGCCAGCCCCCAGGGAAGATGAGCTGCCCATTCGCGGCTCCTCTGTCCTCTGTGCGGCAGCAGGGAGGGGAGGGGGCTGCCCGCCTTGCCTTGGCCTGATCCAAAGGGCTCCGGAGTGGACTCTGCTGCCATCTAGGGAGGGGCCTGGGGTGCAGCAGCCCAGTCGGGCAGAGTTGGGGGAGGGAGGGAATAGCTGTTGGGAAGCTGCTCCCCCTCGTGCTCGTCCTCAGTGTCCTTCTGCCTGGCACGGGGCAGCCAGAGGGCAGGGCCAGCTTCGTCCAGCGCTGCTGCCACGGTTGCTGTCTCAGGCAGCTGGCCAACACAGGGAGGAGCCCCTGCCTCCCAGGTGCAGGAAGGAGCCTGCCGGCTTCCAGGGAGGAGGGCCCCTGGTGGGCGGGCGAGGAGACATCTGTGCCAGCCCGTGTCATCCCTGCAGCCTGCCCTTGTTCTACCCAGCCAGGTCGAGGCGGCAGGGATGGCGCCAGGCAGCTCCCTCAGTGGGGCCAGGGGGGAGGGCAGCAGCAAGCATGGCTTGGGGATGCAGCCAGAGAGATCTGCCCAGCCTCCGCCAGAGGGACGGTGCCAGCTGAGCCAGCTGGAATTCAGCTGAGCCTGGGCCCTCCTTGCCCTCAGGGAGGCCCTTTTCTTCTCCTCCTCTCCCTCCCCGGCTCTGGGTGTGCATCTGGCAAGCGCCTTACTCGAGGTCATCTCAGGTCAAGCGCTGGGGGAGGAGAGGCAGGTGGGATCGGTGTTAGCAAACCCCCAGCACTTAGCAACTTCGCCATCCTCCCCCCTCCACCCCCACCTTTCGGGGTTAGTTTTGGAGCTGCCGAGCCAAGGTGGGCTTCACAGTGGCGCCTTTGGGGAGACGGCAGGGAACGGCCGCTACTGGTCTGCCCCAGGTGCATGGAGACTACCACTCCCAGTGTTCCCAGTCCCCAAGGATTTGACCTGTCCCTTATTTCAAGCTTTGGGTATTCTTGGCAGGCAGGGTGGCCGATTTGGGCCAAAAGGGTGCCTGGATCCCTCATTCCAACAGGGCAAGCTTTTTCCCTTGAGGCCAGAGGAATGCCTGCCTTTGGATGCCAATGCAGACATTAGATGAAGCCGTGGACCAAGAAGGAATTTAGCCTTGCATTGGGGGGGGGGGGGGTGTCAAGCCTAAAGCCAGCCCATGATTTGCAATGGGAGAAACATCCAATTGTTTTTCATTCTCCTGCATTCCTAACATCCTGGTGATTTGTTTTCTAGAATCCAATTTGGATAGTTCTGTTTATTTTTAATTTTTTTAAAAAAATATGATCTTGATTTTTTAACTGGAGTTAATTTTAATCAAATCTTGGACAAGCTGATCACTCATGGTTACTCTGGCTGCTTACAAAAAAAAACCCAACCCAGTACAGAAGCCAATACCACCATCCCCACACGCATACCCCTGGTAACCACAATTGGACCAACCACTCAATGGGTTCAATACCATTCTGGGGTACCCAGGCCTGTCAGCAGAACTCTGCCTTCTTACAAACCAGTAAACCTCTGTCATTCTGGATGAGAGCTTCAATCCTGGAATATTCTTTTAAAAGAAACTTTGTTCTTAACAAGCTTGGGATTGAAGCCCTGAGTTGAGAGGACATTGTTATAGGACAGGGATTTCAAACTCGATTTCACTGCGGGCCGCATCAGGGTTGTGGTTGACCTTGGGGAGCCGGGGCAGGCATGGCCAGGGTGGGCATGGCCAGCTTGAGGTCACTCGTGTCAGGGGCGCCTGTGTAGGCCCGAGGGCTCTGCCAGTGAAAACGGGCTCCCAAGCACCGTTTTCAGCTGCGATGGCCTCCTGCAGCCCTCTGCCAGTGAAAACAGAGCTTGGGGGTGTGGCAGCCCTCCTGGGCCCCATTATTGGCCATGACGGCCTCCTGCAGCCCTCTACCAGCAGGCCCTCCCAAGCTCCATTTTTGCTGGCAGAGGCACTGATGGCCAATCCTTTGCTGTTTCCAGGCCAGCTCCCCAGGCCTGATCCGGCCCCCGGGCTTTGAGTTTGACACCCCTGTTATAGGAGGATCCCCTCAATGTGGGGTTTCTCCCAAAGTGCCTTGGTGTCCCCCAACCGGGTAGATCCCGAACGTCTCTCCCTCGTCAAGGGGTGTGTGTGTGTGAACCCTGATGCCCTTTCCTGGCCCGCCTCACCCTGCCTTCTCTTTCTCTCCTGCAGACGACGTGCTCACCAAGGATTCCGGCGAATGTGTCATTTGCCTAGAGGAACTCCTACAAGGAGACACGATAGCCCGGCTGCCCTGCCTCTGCATTTATCACAAGAGGTAGAGTACGAAGACCCCCCAAAGAAGAAGGGCCCCCGCTGGGCCTGCAGTTCAGATGGGTTGAGAGGCTGGGAAAGGACCTGTTGGTCTCCCAAGGCCTCTCTGAGCTGCTCCTCTTCAAACCCCATACATGCCACGCATGGGGGGCCCTTTTCTTCTGCCCCCGTGACCCTCCCAGAAGCCTCTGCCATGCAGGACAGTGAGGGAATCCCTCTTCTCTTCTGCAGCTGTATAGATTCCTGGTTTGAAGTCAACAGATCCTGCCCAGAACACCCGTCAGATTGACCGCAGGATCCCACCCGGACTTCTTTCCAGGTGAGCTTCTTCTGCCTCTTGGCCCTGAAAGGGCCCATTGTAAAGAATCTCACTCCCTCAACGGAGTTCTCTGCTAACTCCCAGTTTAACCCGAAGAAAAACGCACCCCTGGACTAAGATGGCCCATCCAGTTATGGCCACGCTGGTTGAGAATTTGGAAAGCCTCTGTCCCAGTCGAGACAGGGAGTGCGCACTGGGGTTGGGAAGAAAATGATTTAGGGCAGTGTTTCTCAACCTTGGCGACTTTAAGTCCTGTGGACCTCAACTCCCAGAATCCCCCAGTCAGCTGGGGGATTCTGGGAGTTGAGGTCCACAGGACTTAAAGTCGCCAAGGTTGAGAAACACTGATTTAGGGGAATGGTGTATAGCTTTTAACGGAGGCATTCGAAAGCAACCCAAATGCTTCGTGCAGGCAAAAATGGAAAGAAATGCCATCAGCCCACAGAATAAAGGAATTGGTTATTAATAACCGAGAGAGAAAAACATGCTCTTTTAAACAGTTCTGCAGCAAGTGATTTGTCAGTAAGCATTGCAAACAGGAAGTAAATTCTCAAAACTAATACTTGCTTCCATTTTTTTCCTAAACAAAACTGAACAAGCAAAGTCCTCGAGCCAGCCTTTGTTAGCTGGCCAAAGGAGAGAACTGGGTTGCCATTGGAATCTTTCCACATTATCTTTCAAATTCTTGGCACAATTTTTCTAGTGATTTCCCAACCAAGCTCAAATCAGTTCTGACTCAGCTTAGCTGTTGAGACCATTAGGGGCTGTTGAATGCCGCACATGTAGCCAGAACCTCTGAACTAAACCTTGCCCGATTTCATGTTTGGTTCAAATGTTCTCATAAACCTTGAGGCGTATTTCAGGGAACCAAAATAGAAGGATTCTCCCTTGGGCCTAGTGATGCATGGCTTAATAAAAGTGTTTCCAAAACAGGATATTTTTCAGGTTCGTTAATTTTGGTTTAAGATCGTTGTCGTATCTGTTTTCATGACATGAGCCCATTGATCTACACAATCCCCGTAGGATGTACATCAGAGGTTGTATTCAGCCGATTCCGACTGGTTCTAGCAAACCGGTTGCAGAAATTTTGAGTAGTTCAGAGAACCGGCAAATTCCACCTCTGGCTGGCCCTGCCCCCTTCCCAGCTGATCAATGTCGTCGGTCTATTGCTGCCTCCCATCTGATCAGCTTGGTCTTCTTTTGTTGCCCTGCACAGGAGAACGGAGCTGGAAAGCAGGTTAGTGGGGTGGGGAGAGAATGGGGATTTTACAGTATCCTTCCACTGCCACACCCATCTAACCACGCCCACCAAGCCACGCCCACACAACCAGTAGTAAAAAAAATGAATTTGAATTGAAATTCCCACCACTGATATACCTTCTGCTCTTCTTCTTCTAGTACAGGGTTGGATGGATTTTCTTTGAGCTTCTGTAAGGACACTCTCCTTGTCCCTCTCTTTCCTGCTAATCCAGCTTTTTGTGTGTCGCAGGAGAGTAGGGGGTGGGAGAACGTTGCCTACTCAGCCCAAGAATTTGAGAAAGATCCTAGGTTATAGGCCGCCTCAAGGAAGATTTATGACTTATGAAAAGAACATCAGTCAAAGGCCACCCGTAGAAGATTTAGGGTTGTGTTTCTCAAACTCTGTTGAGATTGTGGACTTGGACTAGAAGGCCTTCCCTCCGAATAACTCTGTTATTCTGTTAACCTTGAGAACTTTCAGATGCACGGGCTTCAACTCCCAGAATTGCCAATCCAGCATGCTGGCTGGGGGAATTCTGGGAGTTGAAATCCGCACATCTTAAAAGTTGTCAAGATGGGGAAACATGGATATTGGGAAAGATGACTTTGTTGCTGGTGGGGAAGAGTTGGGGACTCAAAATCCTTTTCATGCCAGGGATCGACCAAGATCTACCTTTGGCCACCAGAAGATCCTTGCGGAATCGGTTGGGAAATCCACCTGACTCTAGTCAACGTTCTGTTTGCATAGAGGCCAGCTAGGCATCAATCGAAAACCTCTAATTCAGGGGTATCCAAACTTGGGAACTTTTAAGACTTGTGGACTTCAACTCCCAGAATTCCCCAGCCAGCCATTCTGAAGTCCACAAGTCTTAAAAGTTCCCAAGTTTGGACACCCCTGCTCTAATTCATCCTTCCTTGGATCTCTTGGGAAAAGGCAAATTTCCTGGGGGGTGGGGGGAGAGGAGTCAAGAAACCCCAGCAAGAAGCAGTGGTGAGAATGGTTAGCGTCCTCTTCTTTATTGTTTGTTAATTAACCAGTGGAACAGAAGTTGTGGGGACTCCATTACTGGAGGGTTTTAAGAGGAGATTGGACAGCCACTTGTCTGAAATGGTACGGGTCTCCTGTTTGAGCAGGGGTTGGTCTAGAGCAGTGTTTCTCAACCTTGACAACTTGAAGCCCTGTGGACTTCAAGTTGCCAAGGTTGAGAAACACTGGTCTAGAGGACCTCCACGGTCCCTTCCAACACTGTCCTTTTATTCGTTGAAAGACACAGACGTGAAACACATTGGCTTCTTTGCGTAGAAGTTTTTGGGAGAGCTTTTCAGTATGCTTTACTTTTTTTCTCAACAGGTCATCTCACCATCCACCCTTCTTCCACACACCCACTCCCAACTTCCTCTAAACCAGCTCTGGGACAGCCCCTCCCCAAAGGCAGCCTGGGCCTTTTAGTGTTCAGTTCTGGACTTCAGAGGCAGGGAAGACCCCGCAACAAGCAACTGTCGCTCCACGAGGCCATACTTGGGGTACCGTCCTGCGGTCCAGGCAGGGGGGCGAAGAAGAGGGCCTGGGGCAGGAGCCAGAGGCCGTGGGCCCCGCCACCCCACAGCAACGCCATAATGTTTGTTTGGACTAGAGCCAGCCACGAGCAAAATGGATCAAGGACTCTTCCTTCCTGCCCACACGCAGGGGGGGGGGGAGGTGGTAGTTTACCCCTCCCTTTTTATTTTCTTGGAACAACAAGGCCATTTCCCCCCCTCCCCTCCTGCCTCCCCCCCACTCTCCCCAGCCTGGAGGAGGAGGAGAATCAGGTGTTTTTTGTGGCATTTTTCTGAAGGTGTTGTAAGTTTTCCTTTTCAAATGTTTACAAAACAGCCACGTCGTGTCAACCAGCGTGCCAGGTGATGTTTATAAGGCTGCATTCTCGGGCAGGTGGGGAGCAGAACTTCCAAGACCTTTTTTCTTTTCTCCTCCATCAACAAACACCCCCCCCCCCCAATTGCCAAAAGTCCTTTACTCACACTCCCCTCTCGACCTCCGTGCTGGCTTCAGGGGCTGTTGCAAGTCTCCTGCAACAAGATCAGTTTTCGGCCCTTTGTGGAGCGCAGGACTGGCCTTTTTCTTAAAGCAACACAAACAGAGGATACGACACCCACCCACCCACACAGACACACTCCTGCCCTGCCAGTCCACAATTGAGCACGAAGCAAAGCCTGGCTGAGCCACAGGGTTGGGGAATTGGGGTGGGGGAACCTCTGATGGACGGTTTTGACCCGCAAGGGAAAAAAAAAGTATCTGTATTTATATAGGAAAAAAACAAAAAAAAGAAAACTTTAAAAATGACAAAAAGGAAAAAAAAAATCAAAGCTTGGGAAGGTCAAACTTCCCCTATTAGTCAAGTGTTTTGATATGGTATTCAATAATGCTCAATAAAATAGTCACTGTTATTTTATTTCCAGGTATTCTTATTTGTCTTGATGGATTTGGGATGCGAGGGGGCGACTGAGCATTTGGTGGGTTTACCACCCCTCTTTTTAAACTTGGAAATGGGAGTCCTTTGAAGTGGACATGTATGGGGGATGTAGCAATGTTTGTGAGCAGTGTTCTGGTTAAGCCACAATCTGAAAACAGGGTGGTTGTTTTTTTTTTTTTAAAGGAAATAATCTACCGTATTTTTCAGAGTATAAGATGCACCTTTTTCCCCTAGAAAAGAGGGTGAAAATCTAGGTGCGTCTTATACACTGAATACAGCAGTTTTGACCTCCCGAAACCCTGCCCCCTTTGTAAAAATGGCCATGCATAGCCTTTAGGGGGCTGTGGAGGGAAAAATGAGTGAAAAATAGGCCTTCCCCCCGCCCCCCCGAGCCCCCAGGAGCACTCTGGAAGCCTCCTAAAGGCTATGCAGGCTTTTTTTTTTTTTTTTGACAAAAAACGGGCCATTTTGGGGAGATCTGCAGAGTGCAAAACCTTTTTTTAAAATTTGCCTCTTCAAAATCTTGGTGCATCTTATGCTCTGAAAAATACGGTAAATGAAACTGCAGCAGATTTAAATCACTAGAAATTACCATTTTTAAAAATACAAATATCTCCAAGGTCCATGGTTGGACTAGAAGACCTCCAAGGTCCCTTCTGACTCGGTCATTCTGTTAAAGGAGGATCTGGCTGCAGGATCCGACCTCCCATATACTACTTGGAGGACCCTGAATAGGTTAAAGAGTTGCAGTGCCTAAGTGTACAACCCACGGGGTCAAGTGCAGGCACATAGCAGATAACCGGCTGTGTGAATGTATAGGCGCAGGTATGCCGGTTACTACCAGAAACATGTACTGATGACGGCTTATTTTTAGCCAACGACAAAGCCAAAAAGGTGGGTTGGTTCTGTCAGTTTTAAAGTCTGACCTAGACACGGAAGCAGCAGCAGGAGCAGCAAAGAGCATGTATGTTCCCCGATGGATGAATCCTGCATTAATCTAGTAGGCAAAACCTGGATTTGTCCTGCTTCAATTCACCACAGCTTTGACAGAGCAAAATAAAATAAAGATCCCAAGAGAGAAGAGGTGGATCTAACTAAACCGGAAAGCTAGGAAAAACATGGAATTTTGCTTCCAGGCTCATCCAACAGAAATACTGAGTCTGTTGTCTGCCAACTCTGCATAAACCAGTTTTGCCCCTAAGGCAACGTTAACAAAGGAAATAAAGGGATTAGTAGTTCTTTAAAGGAATGTTTTGCAACCTCCAGTTTCAGTGAAATACACTGAAGCTTTTGAGGAAAAGGTGTGTGGTAATGACAAAGATAAGTGTTGCTTTTTGTATGTGTGTTGTGACATCTACCAAAGGAGTGGAATTTGTGTTGTATTGCCACAATGGATTGGATCCAACAGACGCCTTTGGAACCTTTCCAAACTTTGGGGACTCCCCTTGTATGGACTTCAATTCCCAGAATTCTCCATAATGAGCCTGCTGGCTGTGGAATTCTGGGAATTGAACCCTCCCCCCCTCCCCTGGTTAGAAAATGTGCCCTTAACTTACTTCCCGGCTTGGTTCAAAAGGCCAACCTCTGATCTCAAATTACATCTGAGCATTTCCATATTATATGAATAAACAAACATGGCTGCAGCTCTCCCCACACAAACGCACAGCATTAATTTTAATATAGATCTGTAAGACAAATTCAGACAATTGCCAAGTTCTGTATGCTTACTCTTCTTATCAGAGGGATGGCTGCCAATCCTAGCTCACCTTTTTCAAGTGTGTAAAAATTCAAAGGAAGCGGACAGGTGGGTGGAGTGTTCAAGGCAGTGTTTCCTGTCAACCTTGATACCTGGACTTCAACTCCCAGAATTCCCCAGCCAGCATCTTGTCCACGCATCTTGATTTAAAGGCCATGTATCTTAATTCATGTCGGCTGAAGAATTCTAGGAGTTGAAGTCCACGCATCTTAAAAGAATGCCAGCTGGGGAATTCTGGGAATTGAAGTCTATGTATTTTAAAGCATGTCGGCTGAAGAATTCGGCCAGTTGAAGTCCATGCATCTTAATGCCAGCTGGGGAATTTTGGGAATTGAAGTCCATGCAGCTTAAAGTTGCCGAGGTTGGGAAACAGAGGTGTATAGAGTTTTGCTGAACCATTGTGTCACTTACTTGGCTTTGAGTTATCATGTCCTTTGAACCAACTGTGGTTTATTCAGCAGGCTAGAATTAAACATAGTTTAGTACGATATAGAATCCAGTCAGCAGAGGTGGTGAAGAAGTCTTTGCTGTGGGCACCTCTGGAGAACCACTTTGGTTAAAACCTGCATTTCTGACCCTGCTGGAGCGAGGAGATAAAAGCGAAGACGCCTCACTCCGGACTTCTCGGCAAGGAAAACAAATTCAGGAGCCTCTCCCAGCCAGGCCTTGCGGAGGTTCGAGCACCTTTCCAGGGTTCATGAGGTTTTTGGGATCCAAGGCCACCTTGATCTGCCACATGGTGGAGAGGGCCACTTCCCCTACTTCCTCGCGCAAAAGCTGACGCTTGCCCAGGCCGATGCCATGCTCCCCCGTGCAGGTGCCACCCACTGCCAAGGCCCTCCTGGAGAAAAGTGGCAAAAGAGATCAAAATGCACATCCCAAATCTCACTTGCAAGGTAAGCGAAGGAAAGGAACTGGGCATTCCCCCACCCCCTCTCATTTCTTTTCTGCTTTTGAAAATATTACATTTAGCAACAATAAAAAAGAAAAACTTTTGTAATGTTATTTTTCTCTTTCCCTTCCTCCCCCTATATCTATATCTAGTTTGTCTGGCTATTCTTCTCTCTTTCTCCCCCTCTCTCTCCTTCTTTATCCCCCCCCTCTCTCGCCCTCTCTTTCTCACTCCCTTTTCTCCCTCTCTATCCCTTCCTCTCTTCTCCCTATCTCCCCTCTCTCTATCCCTCCCTCTCTATTCCCCCCTTCTCTTTATCCCTCCCTCCCTCTCTCCCTTCCTCTCTATCTTTATCCTTCTCTATCCATATCCATATCTCTATCCCTATCCATATCTATCTACATCCATCCATCCATCCATCCATCCTATTATTATAGCCATCATCTATCTATATATCTAATTTCTCTTCTCTCCCTTCCTTTCTCCCTTTTCGTTTCCTGCCTTCCCTTCCCTTTTTTCTCTTTTTCTTTCCCCCCTCTCTCCCTCCTTCCCTCCTCCTTTCTTGAATATATTCATTCTCTATTAGACTATTAGACTATTCTTCACCCGGAAGAAATTTTATGCCTA